GAATAATAGATCAGTGAGAGCTGAACCTCAGAACGCAGCCGGCCTGGGGAAGCGGGGACGGGCACTTGGATCAATATTTCACCGCTGGCTTTGATATGGGAACCCGCTTTTCAGGGCAGGGGGCTGCGGTTGCCTCTTGCTGTAATGAGGATAAATGTAACATCTGCTAGGCTGGGTTTGATTTTTGAGATATCAAGGCAGCGTCGCTCGGTGCTGGCTGTGTGCGAAGGAGCCTTTCAGCTCAGCAGCACGCTGCCTGTCCCTGCGCTCAGCCCCACGCCTCAGTTTTGGGTATTCAGGCGGCTCGCTTTGCGCGAGCCTTCAGGAACGGAGCAGAAGGGGCTCTTGCTCCTGAAATGTTTACCATAAGCTCAAAGCTGCGGGCTTTCCCACCTTCTTACACCCATTCTGCTGGGCAGGAGGCGGCCGTGTGCCATGCAGAGCTCCTCGCACTGATCTAATACAGAATATCGCGCAGTTAAGGCAGTCAAAAGGCCATCAATCTTCAGGGCTGAATTCCGACCGCCGCAACCCAGACGGCCGCAGTCTTTAATCCTTAGCAGAGAGCTGACCGAAATGCTGATGATTTCTATTTTTTGTAACGTTTCACCCTGCCTCCCTTCCTTTAAATGCAGCGCCGGCGTCGATAATTGGAGTGTGCTGGAGAGGAGCGGAGCGGTGAATAACACCCAGCGCGGTGCAGGCAGGTGCAGGGGTAAAATCACCTGCTTCTGCAAATTGCCTCTTTTTAATCTTTCTATTAAGATAATGACGGCAGCAGGATGGCAACGCATGCCTGCAGAGCAGGTACTCAGCCTGCTTGTTTATCCACCTATTATCCATGCAGGTTTTATTTGGCAGCGGGGCACGGGGAACCATGGGGTGAGCAGCCCCACTCCTGCCTCTTGTTGGGTCGGCCATAGTTATCCATCTACAAGGAGGCAGGAGGGGCGGTGAGTGCTGTACATCACACGCTGAATATTTCCCTTCCCACGGGTGTGCATTGATGCTCCCTTTGTTGGGATGCACAGATCCCAGCCCCAGCCCCACTCACACCTGGCAGCGCTGCCTTTTGTCCCACATCTGCTGCTGTTTGTCACCGTTGCCTGAAACCCTCTATTCACCCTCTATTTCTTTCCAACGAGCTTTTGAGTGATTTTGCATAGGGGATGAGGATGGGCCCTTGGGGCAGGTTGACACCTGAAGGGATTTGCATGGAGCCTCTCACACTGCTGCGCTCTTTTTATGTTTCCCTTTTAGAAAATGATCATCTGTTTAGCAAAACCTTGCATGAACTGACATCTCTGATGGGGACGTGAGCTGTTCTGTGTGGTGGTGGTAGGGATGGCTGGTGGCCCTGGTGCTGCTATGGTCAGAGTTTGAGCTGGAGGGGGTCGCATCCCCAAGGAGGCTGTGGATGCCCCATCCCTGCAGGCATTCAAGGCCAGGCTGGATGTGGCTCTGGGCAGCCTGGGCTGCTGGTTGGCAACCTGCACACAGCAGGGGGTTGGAACTGGATGAGCTTTGCGGTCCTTTGCAACCCAGGCCATGCTGGGATTCTGTGATTCTCTATACAGCCTGTGGCATAAATGGGTACAGTGAGGGGGGAAACAAAGGTTTGGAGGCAATTATTGTCAGAAATGGAGGTGATACACTGGCACAGACTGCCCAGGACGTGGTGGGGTCACCGTGTCTGGAGGTGCTCCAGAACCGTGGGAGTCAGTGGGCATGACTGGGGTGGGCTGGGGGTGGACTTGGGGATCCTAGAGGTCTTCTCCAGCATTAATGATTTCATGATCCTAGGAACTGGCAAAGGAAATTGGTGTGGTGTTTGGATTTGGGGTTTTCCTCCCAGTTTAGGACTGGCTCGAGGAATGGGCTCTTGTCCCTATGGCAGTGCAGCTCAGGGTGTGATGCAGTGCTGTCACTCTGGTGCTATTCCTCAAGTTTCACGGGCTTCGAGCCTGGAGGGAGGGGGGGGGGGGCTCTTGGTGCTTCTGTTTGCTTTACAGAAAGCTTAGGAAAAAAAATATGTAATAAGTGGGCTATCACAAGCTCCACAGCGCAGGTCAAGGCTCATTTCAGTGGTCACCCAGCTGTGACTGCAGGACGCTGCTCCCCACACAGTGACGCTGGACACTATCACTGCCATCTAAATAGCCCTCAGCTCTGCAGAGCTCTGCAGTGCTGCCCGTCGTGCTGCCATGCCTTTTCCATACCATCACCTTATAGGGTTCTTATAGGGGTTACCTTCCCCTCCTCCTATGTGGGGTTGCAGGTGGGGCTGGGTTAGCACACCCCTAGATGCATCAACCCCAAAGGCAGCCTGCAATCCTGCACCCCACTCTCACAGGATCCTGGTTAGCCCCAGTGAGGCCCTGGGGCTGTGAGACACTGGGGCAGTGTCCCCATGCAGCTGGCCGTGGGGCTCTGTGCCCCTTGCTTTGGGGTTGGATTGCTGTTAAGCTCCTTGCCCCGTGCTGCACGGAGTGCTGTCACAGGGAGTGGAGTTTATGGTAAACAAGCAGCAGCCAGAAGGGAGCTGCTCCGTATCCTCAGCACGCCTGCAAAGGTCGGTCTGTCTGTCTGTCTGTCAAGCTGTCAGCTTCCCAGGGGACACCTGTCCCCATGAACATTTCTGGGGGGAGGATGCTCCAGCAGCAGCATCCCACTCCCCTCCTCAGGAGCAGCAAGCCTCTCCTCCCCATCCCCTCTTTTAAGATGTAGAACGGAACCAGTGCTGTGCTGACCCTCTCCAGTTGGGTGGCAGTGTCAGGGCTTTGTGCGTGTTTATTATTATCATTAATTGTGGGTTTTTTTTTCTTTTTCTGAAGAAACAGGGAGAGAGAGAAAAAAAATCTCTCTCTTTTCAAAATCACTCATCCTTCCTAATAATGAAAGCTGTCACCAGCTCTGCTTGGTGAGGAAATGATGCTCTCGGTAAATATTTGGTCTGGAACTGATTTATGGGAGGAAAAAAATGAGATTAGTGGTTAATCACAGCGCTGCAGGAAATGTTTTGGGATGGGCTCGGGGGAGCTGCACCGGGGGCTTCAGCAGAAAACTGGTGGTTGTGCCATGGGTTGCATGTGGGAAGGTGGGTTGAGTTGGGGTGCAGGGGTTGGGAGGGGATGAAGGGGTCAGGATGGGGAGCAGGGGTCAGACTGGCTCTGGGGGCCATTGAACTTTCCCTCAACCTGTTGGTTTGTGCATTTGCTTGTAGGGATGGGGTTTTGGGGTTGGGATGGGTGCAAGGCATGACTGGCATCAACAGCGGGGCTGCCGTGCACTGCATTGCTGCAGGCAATTGCCTGCCCTGTGCGCTCCATAAAGTTATTACAGGGACCCTAAAGGCAGCAGCGGCTTTTCCTGTGCAAGGAAACAATTAGCTTATTAGAGGGTGGGTTAATTTTCATATGCTAACGCGGGCTGGCAAGTGCAGAGTGCTCATTTCCTACCAATTGGCAGGGCCAGATGCCCGGGTGCTCCGATCAGCGCTGCTGGAACAAGGGCAGAGCAAGACCTGAAGGGGGGGGAAAAGCACGTGGGTGCCTGGGTGCTGTGGCTGGTGAGCATGAAGGGGAAAGTTTCTAGAGAGCGATGCAGGGTTTTGTGCCGCTCTACAGCACTGCATGGCACGGCGTGCACTGCATGGCAGTGCAGCATGGCATGGTGTGGCATTTCCTGGCACTGAGCAGGGCAGCACGGCATTGCACAACATTTCTTGGCACTGCACAGCACATCATGCCGTTGCACAGCGTTTCTTGGCATTGCACGGCGCATCGTGGCATTGCACAACGTTGAAAGGTGCTTGGTTGGGCTCTGGGGCCAGATGCTGTGGGTTTCCCTGCTGGGCTGCAGCTGGATGCACCCAGCTGCTGTTGCAGAGGTGCCACAATTCATTCCACTCCCACTTGCTTTCAGTCTAATTAGGATTATAACAATACAGGCAGAAACAAACGCAGTGGATTGAAGAAAAGGCTGTAATTTGACTGCACATCAGTGCTAACCGTACCGTTGGCTCACTGTTGGTGCTGTGATGTTAGGCATGCTGGACATCCCCTATCCACACCCAGGAGTGTTTCTTGATAATAGGGCTATTGCTCAAAAGGGGAGTTTCTGTCCCAAACCCACTGAAGGGGCTGAGCTGCCTTTCGCAGTGTCTGATTTGGAGCACAGCAGACCTTTTTTTCCAGCACAGCAAAAATCCCTGGGGTCTCGTGGAAAGGTTTTTTGAAGATTCATGTGTTATTGGACCACCAATCCATGCAGGCAGGCTGAAGTGGAAAATCTGAAATGTATGGTTTAGTTTTTACATAGTCCTGTCTGCCTATTTGATCCTCGTGGGTCCCTTTTGATTTGGGGTCTCCTCTCCTCTCCTCTCCTCTCCTCTCCTCTCCTCTCCTC